TTCTCACTCCAATCAATAATTTTCTTCCAAAGAGACTTAATTTTATCACTGAAATCCAGTCAACATTTATACCATGCACAACTGCAAAATTTAAGTCAGGTTGCACTAAGGAGGCAACAGCATCACTGATAAAATTAAAACTTGCTGGTGGCATTTTGCATTGAGAGAAGCCCTTGCAACATATAGACAGTTGTAAACTCCGTTCAGCAACTCTGACGTGTCTTGCAGGCCAAGAGGCAGGGGAATGGGAGGAGAGGGGGAGAGAATGTGGGTAGCGAAACACCTCAACAGAGTTCCAACACAATACTGAATTCCAGAGTTAGCGAAAACCTGGATATGTAAGGAAAGGGTGAAGTCAGGGTCATGCGTAAAATGGTCTCAAGTCAAATGTACTAAATGAGACAGTAACACCTTCACAGGTCACGTGGATTTCCAGGTTTTGCACTCCATCTTTCAATAAGTGCTGGCTGAAGGTGTGGTCAGTCGTTTTCCAATGTAGATGCTGAAATAAAAAGTATAAGGCATATCGTATTTCACAGAAACGCTCCGTTTTCCAAACAGCCTTCACGCACTCAGCTATTCTGTCTTTCAAGTGAGTCTGACAAGATTCTTCCAAGGACTTCACTTCTCTTCTATAAAATTACTAAAAGACTGAGATTTTCAGATGGGCCTAGAAGGACTGACGCTACCAACCTTCGCTATAAAAGTGGGTTTCTACCAGTCCCAAGCTCATTTGAAAACCTCAGTCCAAAAGCTTTTCTGTTGCTTGTAGAGTACCTGACACTGGGGCTCTTGAACAGTCGAGCAACACTCCCAAGTTATTACAATGAAACAAAGTACTGTCTATAAAGGGAAGGGGTGAGCTTTAAAACACTGAGCATTGAGGATCTACGCAAGTGCTGACCTATAACAAATCCAGGCAAGATTTAATTCGAAGCAGAAATACAGTTTTGCTATAGTACAACTATCTTACAATACATTCTCAAATACTCTGTCCTCCTAATTTATTTGCTAGTTTACAAGAAATTAAAGAAACACTTGAACTATCCCCCCAGAAACAAATATGAGGCTAAATAAAAACATATTTTGAGTACATGTCTCTGCCCCATCACAGAACAACATAAGATGGATAAACATAAGGATTTAAGCAAGCTCAGAGATTATGTCAGATTACGCAGGCAATGAAAACACTGCTGAGCAGTCGTAGCTCCACACAGGACATGTCCAGTATTTCACATATCTTTCCTTCAGTATTCAAACCTTGACTTTCAGTAACATCACACAACTGCAGCATTAGACATGGAAAATTACAGAGTATGTGCCACACACGCAGACCTTCAGCAGCATCATTTGTACAATGTGGTTTTGTAATGGTTAGCAAAAGTTGCAGCAGTTTCCCACCTATTCTGTTCCTACCTTCCCTACATTATAACCTGATGCATTTAAGTGGAAGGTGTGGATAATCAAATGGCACGTTATAAGTGCAAAGTTTATTTGCAAATTCATGATAATCCATGCATTTTCAATGCAAGAAACTTGATCTATTCCAGAAATAAAACATATTCATGGCTGCAAAGTTTTCATTGCTGCAAGGTTTTCCTGCATTTCAAAAAAATGCACCAAATCTATCTTGAGCAAGGTGCAACAATACTCTAGTTATTCTAGATAAAGCCCTTTTCAGCAGGCATCTGACACAGAAATATGGAAGGTAAACTGAAAATAATTGGAAAGGAAAGCCAGATGCAAAAGTTGAAGTGAGAATTAAGTTAATACTTACCCTAGTCCCAGAGCCAAAACATGAGATATGAACAGAGATGGAATGAAAACCTTAAGAAATTCTGCAGAGAAAATGCCACCTTTTTTCATTGCTCCACTTTTTCTCATACTTAAAGACACTGAACGTTTAGGATGTCTGAAGTGAAATTCCCTGAAAGAAGAGGGGGAGGGGGGAAAAATTCAACAATATTTTTCGGTTTCTTTCCTTTTTTTTTTTTTTTTTTTGCAAACAAATGCACAGATCTCTGTAGGAACATTTTTTTTAAAAACGTACAAAGAACTAGAAATCAAAGCAAGAGATCCCTTACATAGAACAAGGGATCAAAGAGAATAATAGGAGGTATTGTGGAGAGACCACTTACACAGACAGTATAGACAAAGGGAGCAGGAGCTGAAGAGAGAGGTAGGTCCGAGAGAGGGAATTTCAGGATGTGATTTGTTAGCAAGAGCCTCATTTTTTGTTCCAAACAGAGATACAGAAGTCTGCCAGATTTAGACAGCATCCTCTACTTTAATAAAAATGCTTTGCATTCAAGGATCTCAAGGTTTCCCCTTCTGTGGTTGAACATTACATATTTTACATAGAGAGAAAAAAAGGTACAGAGAATTTAGGAGATTTGCTCAACACTATTCCATTTAATAAGCCAAAACTAAATCCCACGAATCCCAGCTCCAAGTACCCAGCTCTCCCAATAATTACAATCTTGTCAAGAAACCTTGTAATCAGCTTGCTGTGGATTTATATTACCTTCAATAAAAAGGTAATTCTGTTACTATTAAGATTTTCATACTTAGTTGTTTTGACTTTTTGTAGCCTCCCCAAAGAGAAATCTGTCTTTTTAAGATGATCTTATTGGAGAGCCAGAGTAATTCTATGCAATTGTGACTGAGGATTCTTCTCTCTTTCATATAAAAGAATATTAATTTTAAAAAGTTTAACTCACTTGGGAGGAATGTTTTCAGGCCTACTCGACCAGTCTGACACCCAGTCAGCACTTTTCTTCAAAACTTCCAACTCTTTCTCTCCTTCTACTGCTTCTTCTTCAGACTGAAAATATACATAGGACAAACCTTGTAACATTCAATTAGCTCCTCCTCATGGTGTTAAATTGAGTGACAACAACAGTGGTAAAAAGATAAGCACCAAATGGTGGCACCTGATAAACAAGCAAGTGTTCTTGAACTACTGATTATTTAGAAGATATTTTATTATACTAACAGGAGGATGAGCAGAAGTCAGTACACCACTTCAATTTAAAGTGTACAGAACGTGGCTAAAGCACAGGAAGGCAGCCAAATAAAAAAAGTTTCAAAAATCAGTATTTTGATATTTGTAAAGCTATTATCAGTCACTTAAAATTTATATTACTTGCAACTAGCAGCTTCTACTGGGTGCATCCCAGATACAGAAGGGAAAGGCAAGCGCTCACTACAATTGTCTGGATCCAAAGAACTAATATTACATCATTAGACACAAAAGTTACCATACAGGAAAAAAATAAGTTAGACTAGAAAACACTACTGACTGTGGTACAAAGTCCTCCTTAGTATTAAAATTATTTCCTGAGTGACCCTTAGTAAAATAAGACAAACCACTTACAACATTAGAGTGGGAACCATACCAAAACCAGAAGTAACCAAATAGGACAGCCACAGAAGTGAGATGGCAGACCCAACCGACAGCTTCATTCAGATCGTTCTGGCTCCATAGCGCAGAACTGCAACAATCCCACTGTTCGGCCAGGTCTTTGACAAAATTAAATGCAAGGTTTCATTCTTCCAGGAATGCTTTTTATTTATACTGCTGAAGACAGCAAATTCTATTAAATGATCAAACCAAGAGTTCAGCATTAGTCTCCTCTCAGTTTGTATTATGGAGATTACTCACGATCATGTGAGCTGACTATCTGCAGAGCAATAAACTGAACACCCTGAAACCTTGTGCAGAAATATCAACATTTCAAAAAACAAAACAGGTCTGACACACACACACACACACACACACACACACACACACACACAGTGCAAGCAGCGTTAAACAAGAATATGACTGCTGCTAAACAGGGTATTTCTCAGCATTAGAGACGGACCTTCATTTTTCTCCTCACTCCACATCTATTAATCTCTACAAGTCAAATTTCAATTACTACAGAACTTAAGCCTAAACAAAGTTTACTAACCCTGCCTTGTGTTCAAAATAATTGTTCTGGAATGTGTTTTAATTTAATAAAACTTTATTCTGAAAGCAACCTCTTAAAAGAAAACATAACTTAGTTAAACCGATATAAGCCTGAGTACACAGAGGTTATTTACTACACCTATTTACAGGGAGGTGTTATATAAAGTTTAATAAAAACCTGCAAGAACAAAGTACAAGACAAGCAAACAGCCTTAACCAAATGACTAAGGGACACCTCCAAATTCTGAATAAATAAGGCTTATATAATTCCGTACTGCAGGTAACAGCCAAGCTTAGGGTCTCGAAATGGAAAAAAAAATTGCTAACAAGTAGTAGTTTAATGCATTTTGACATGTAAAATACATAACGTTTTAGATCTTTTGACACGACAAAGAGCTTGCTCTACTGCTCAAGTACTCCCAGTACTATACACAATATCTGCAACTTCAAAATATATTTTTTAAAAGTTAATGAAAATACCTGAGAACTACTGTCTTTACTTGTGTGCATTTCCACATCAAAAGTTATCTGTCCATCTTCTTGAGGTGAAGGGCTAAAGAAAAATTGATTTCATTACATCATTTTTTCATACTACACTCTGTCACCTTAAGAATCATCAGTGTAAATAGCATCTCAGCTGAATCATTTCCACGTGCACTTGTGCACACTATTTAGTTACAGACTACGCTACCCTTCAGATCACAAATATCAATATTAGAAAGTCTTCTAAAAACCCTCATGTTTTCATTTTTTTTCCTATTATAATCCTACCTTTCTTAACAATACAAAATACTGTACAATGCTTCAATCCAGGTGTCTCTCATTAAAATATTAAGGGTATCTTTGTAACCCTACTTAAGCTTTCATGAAAAAGGTGTATTTTAGAAATATCAAAAAACCCCACAAAACTTCCTAGGAAAAATGTATAATGAATAGATCAGAATATCATAATGCTTACATGTGCCTCGAAGGATTACGTTGTTAAATGAGAAATATTTTACCATCACAGGAAAAAAGTAGACTACTGAAAGCAAGGAGTACAAAGTCTGAGAATCTTTTTTCTGTTAAGTCCGGTGATCTATTTTTATTATGCTTGACTAAACATAAAGCACATGTGTACAGTATTATTATTAATGAGCCAGTAAAATTAGATATTTTATACCATATGTGATTTATGACAATGTGAAATTTAACTGTGGTGTTGAAGTGACTTTTCCACTCCTAGAATCCTTAGCTTTCTGTAGTAACAATGCACTTTTCAAGTCAGATATTTTATCTGATAGCCAGTTATCACGAGACAGCAAGTACTCCAAATACTGGGGCATGACAAACTTAAGCCTGAGAGAAAGCTTTACCCCTCCCCCATTAACATCTACAGAATAAAAACTGCAAGAAATTGCTTGCAAAACAACAAATATTGCTTTACCTGTCACAGTGGGAACTACCTCTTGAACTGCTCTGTCCTGATTCATGCTGGGCGTCCAGGAGAATTTTTTCCATGTCTCCATTGTGGATGGAGGATGATGAAGGGACATGTTCCAGACCTCCGTTCTTCCCATTGCCATTATCGTTGCTATTGCCATTGCCGTTCATCTGTAACTCCACCCAGGAACCTGTTGGGGCAGCCAGACGTCACTTCATTAAAAGCAGTAAAACTAAACCCCATTGCAAGTTTATCAATTACACACAGAAAAAAACCCTTGAATATGGTGAATTCAGATAACATACACTGCTGCTGGGAGAAAGCTCATAAACATGTACTGAAGACAGGAGTGACATGTTTCTTCCTCTTTCATCAACAAAAACACCCCTAAAGTTACGTTTTGTTGCTACCTACCTCCAGAGCTAGTCAAATAAAACGTCCCTTCTCTCTTCAACTACTAATACTTTAATAGGCCACATTTCTCTCTGGAGTTTGAAGCTTCAATTAGCTATGTATCACTCGATTACACCAGTCACCCTGCTTCCCTGTTCTGCTTCTACATTTCTTTTTGAAGCAAAGTTTTCATCCCCAGACCCCAACTATAAAACTCCCCCATCTGCGATTTCCTATTCTCCTTCCCTCTACAGACAAAGGCTTTGAATCAAACCCTGATTTTTATACGCATCGGGCAAGCTGCTGTTCTTAGGCCTCATTCAACTCTCTTTGCTCTGGCCCTCTAACAAATATCTCCTATTCCATGCTCTCTACCATCTCTCCTACCCTACCGTAACCCCAGTGGGTCATTCCACAGTTCAAACCATCAGAAACTGGAGGTAGGCATCGTTTCCTCACAGCTGAAGCACCATGCCAACATACACTTCATTGCAGTCAAAGATTTCACTGCTAATAAGCCAAAATAAAGAACGGAGTACCATGAGAAATCCAGAGTTCCCACATGTAATAACAGTTAATAATTTCAATACCATCACTCCAACCTATTTTCTTACCCTCTTTCCCATAGCCAGGGAAGGCTGTACAGCCTACAAGTTGAGATTCACTGGGTTTTGCCCTCTTTTTGTTTGTAGTTATACCTATGGGATATCCATATATGCACTGAGATTTGACAAAAGATCAAGTATGCACCATGAACGATAGAAGCATCTGCTAAAAAGATCATACAGGCTGTAGTTAGATTGAGGATTTTAATTTTTGTTTTTAAATGTCTTCACGTGTATTTAACATGCAGGTTAAATAAGAGCAAAACAATATTTCTTGCTATGTTCATTAGCAACATGTTTAAATTGGAAAAAAAACAGGCTTTGGAAATATTCTTAAGTCATAAACATACCATTTAATGTCCTGAGGGGTGAAGATAGACTAGACTGCAACTGCTCTGTCCCAAATATTTAAATACAGTCCCTATCCAACTGCAATTCCAACCTTCTCCTTAAGACATATAACAAGAATCATTTGACCATACAGCCACATTATTAGCCATGATTACGGAAGGAAAGATCTTCAATTTCTCAAAAGCATACTGCTTTCAGTGCAACTTTATTTCCCATTATCAGTCAGATAATGATTTCACACATGCATATTATGTCACACGAGGGGAGTCATAACAAGTTCACCTTTTTTCAACTTGATTTTGTCAAGCTGAAACAGTTTATCCTTTGTACCAATTATTAGCGATGCCATTACACTGATGACCACGGAAGCATCGTACTCGTTAAGAGCCCTGGCAGTTTACAGTCTGGTTTCCTCAAGCTGTATTCACAAACAAGGAATTTAAGGTGCACACAGAGCTCTTGTGCACAATCATACGATGTACACCACTCTGTACAACATACTTGGCTTTTCAGATAATAAAGTGTTAACTTGGAAATGGCAGCCTTTGCTCAGACTAATCAGCATGAGACATAGACACTGCATTATTTCAGATTTATGATGATTGCTGGTGTCTGCATTTCAAAATAGAAAGGCCACACTGTAGAAACCACGTCAGGAAGGTAAAGATCTGCCTTGTAGCAACACCTTTACAGCACAAGGCCATATGTGCAGAAAAGCACATGGCAACTGCAGCTGGAAGACACACAGGTCAGAAAGCTATATGTTGCCCCAAAATCACTTTAGAGTAGAGAGCACCTATTGGGAGAATTATAATGGTCAGGACCAGCAAAGACATCTATTATTAAAAAAATCATGAGTGAGTGACAATGTGAAAAGAACCGAGGGCGAAGATGCAAGGGGATCCCTTCCTTTGACATCAAGCATAGGCAGAGAAGAGCCCAGCGGATGATCAGAACTGGTTGCTCTAGTGCACAGCTACTCAACACACCTCCACAGCACTTGAGATTATGCACAAACAAAATCCAGACTGACAAAACTTGCCATTTATCTAAAACACGTTGTGGCCATACAAGGAAGAACACTCAAATTAAACTGTGAGTAAAGAGTCCCAACATGTCGAGCAGTAGTTTACATGACAAGCAGCACGTTCTCCAGCTGACCTCACTTATTAATGAGTCAAAATACATTTAAGGAAGCGTAACCTGACATCAGGCTAAAACATGCTACATACTCCCACTGGCAGTCACAACCGGTTTGGGAAAGGAGCTGGAGAGACCTGGTAGTTTCAAAGACTCTGATTAGAGGGACAGAATTCACTGCCTCTTTAAAAAGATGCACAGGAATATATCTGAGCATAAACTCCACAATTAATAGAGAGTGCTTTTTGCCACAGGCTTTCTTCAAAACTGAGGAAGTTACATGAGAACTCTTAATTTTACCATATTTCCAACTTGGCAGTTGATTATTATGGCGAATAAGGCAGAATTCTCCTTCCTTCAAAAATCCCATAAGACACTTTCAGAGAAAAATAAACCACAACTGTTTATATGAATGTGTTTTTCTCCAAAACTGTTTGTATTTTGGCCATGCTCTAAGGCTATTTATTTCACTATGAACTGACATACACCGACTTTAATTACGTTTTTCCTTAACTGGTGGGCTGTTTATAAAACAGTAGCTAAACGTGTGGAGGAAGAGGGGTCTCATTTTATTTATTCACTCTGATTTCATTTGGGTGTGTGGGAAGAAGATATCAAGGACAATATATAGACTATATACAGATATGCATTTTATATATATAAAAATACTCCAAACTAGTAGCTCACAAGACATCTGAGCCATGGTCAACTTGAATAAACTCAGAAATATCACTTTTACGATGAGGTACACCATTAACTAAAAAAACAAAACAAAACAAAAAAACAAAAACCCGAAGGAAAAAGAGAGAGAAGAAAAGAAAGCTGTTCAGATTCCCATAAAGGTAATTATTAAGCAGATTTTCCATGACACAGCTAGATTGGTTCCTGCCCAAGGTGGGATGTCTTCTTTTTGTCAATATGTAACAGAGCTTTACAATAATTAAAATATAGGAAGCATCTAGAATTCTCAGAGTAAGCAAGCCTTTTTTTTTTTTTGATGAAGCCAACAAAGCATCAGTTCAGTTACCAGTTTTATTCCCAGGTCTTCTGACCTTCGATTCAAGTGCTAAGGGATCTTTGAATGAAAGGCCCTAAACATGCACAAATGACATACACAACAAAATGAATAAGTGTCTAAGCTCATTAGCCTGAAAAGGTTCACTGAAAAGCTTATATAATGGCAGAAAATTTACCTATAACACCAAAGCATTGTGGAGCGGCTGAACATCTGAAAGCAGCACTAAGCCTAGATGGAGCTGATTGGTGGCATTTGTTTTGTTCAGGGAGCACAGACTATCAAACATTTCCTCTCATACCTTGTGCTCACCACCTTCAGTAATCACATTGATTTTACTAAGCCTTTACGTGCTGATCCAGCAATAAGATCTACGTGGGCAGATCCAGCACAGGCTTACAGTGCACTCATCTCTTGTTGTTCCGATCTTACAGTGGATTAACCTGTCCCATAATGTAAGTTAACACACTAACAGAAAACAAAAAGGAAATACTAAAATATCACCATTTTTAAAGAAAGCATCAAGTTAAGCACTAGGCATGTCATGTCAAAGACAGCATAATTGTTAATTAAGTATGCTAACAGACCTGAATAATTTGCTAAACTACCTATTTGACTCAGGTACACGTTGTTGTAAACTGCCATCGTTATCACAAAATGCAGTGTTATCGTAACACAACAGCAGTGTTATGAAAGGGGCATAGTTTACTCTTCTTTGATACTATTCCCACTGAGTTACAGGAGATCAACCAACCAATATATTTCGTGGTCAGCTTAACTTCATTGTAAACCACGAAGGTAAGAGTTAATCATTAATGCAATTTATTCAACTCTTCAACTGCAGTATCCTTAATAATTACAAACAAATGGAATGCTTAAAAGGGGGAAAAGCATCTGCCAAGTAAGTACCAGAGCCTGCATAAAAACCACCGATGTGCCTTACTAGTGTTATCCTAGGAACAAAAGGATGCAGCAGAGCAGCTGACATAGATGCCGGATATAGAGGAAAATAGCTCACGTCAGTGGTATTGACTCAGCCACTGAATAAACTCATTCCCACAGTCACGCTCCTCCCCCTACCCTGCTGTATCCCCATCTTAGCTCTTAATACCAGCCACCGAATAAACTCAGTTTAACCACGAAACAAACCTGCTCCTGCTCTCCCCGAGTCACGGCTCTAGCTCGTTCGTCCGTGGCCGATTCACCTCAGCCTCGCCGGCCGCCT